ATCATTTAGCAAAATAGAACAACAGAGAGCTATAGGCTGATTTTGGAGCAGCCACAACTATTCTAAGAACGCGAACCACTTCACAACGGCTGCTACGAGCGAGAGTTCGATGTTCGTTAGAGCCCGCCGATACAGCCCAAAGATGGAGAACGGCAACCTCCCGGTTTGTCGTCTGCTAGCGGAGTCTGGCGCGTGCCCTCTCTCTCGTTTTACCCGCCGAACCCGCTGAACTTCCCGGATGTGTGGAGAGGGCGCTGCGGTCGCACAAAATGGTGCCGCCCAGAGAGCGCTAAATTCCGTCCGAGCGCAGCCAAAGCTACGTGCGGCCGGAGCCAATCACACGCCGGCAGTAGGTCACGCGATCTCGCCTGCACTTTTGTATCACTCCGCTGCGCCGCCGGTCGGCCGCGCCGCCCGCGCTCGCCAAGTATTTCGTCTGCTACGGGTGTATCAACGATATCGTCTGCTACAAGTTTAAAAAGTGCCCTTTCACGTTCTGAAACTTAGTCACAGAGGATGTCAGTACGTAGGCTGGCCGCTGGCATCTGTGTCCGAGCTTTCCACTTGTTCGGCATAGTTTCGAGTTGTAAGTACATGTTGCAAGGTCCCCGATGACCCGGCCGTTGATGTTTCCTTGGATTGTTTGGATATACCAGGGCTCGAGGCGCAGTCCTTTCCACCAGCTTCTCGGCGTTCAATGTGATCGGCAGGTAAAGGGGTGCCCTGATTTCGCCGCGTATCTGAATTGCAGTGGCCCGGACGCTTTGCTTGTTTACAATGCATTCGCGGTACGACGCGGTCGGATCGAGTCTCCTGCCGAATTTGAAAGTAGACATTCATCCCGACCTCTCGCGCCTGACGCCCAAACGTGCCTTTGCTAAAGGGCGTTTTGAAGCGACTCAGTGAGGAAAGCAGCGAAGCACATGATTCGGCGATTACGGGAACGAAATCACACAGAAAAACCGAGCGCTGCAGCCGTGTTGCCAGCGGATATACATGTTTTCACAAACCACATGCATTTACATATATTAATAGAAACATAAACTTCAGAGATGTGATTCCTTTAGTTGCAAATCATTCTCAGCAGTACACATCTGAAAGATTGTGCAGTTTCTATGCACAAAGCAGTTATTTTAAAAGAAATTACTTTTGTGAACTACTTTGTGGAATGCTCTTCCCGAAGTTGCGAACTATCCCTCAGCCTTTGGCTGCGCTCAGACGGAAGCTGAAACGAAGCATAGAAAGGGCTAGTGGGATGAGGCGCCACGAACGGCGAGGGTAGAAAGGTCCCGGGTGTACGCGGCGGCGCTGCGGTCGTATACCGGCTCGAGGATCCGACCGGTCCCGAGCGTTCCGAAGGCTTTCGGCGCGGGATTGGCTGGCGATTTTGCCATTTGGCGGTATGGCAGCGCGAAGTGGCTCCCGTTCTGAAGTGATACTTACCCCGTGTTTGCTGTCGTTTGTGGCCAATGAGGTGTTATGCCGAATTAGCCTTTAATCGTGCAGCAAATGCAATGCGAGCCGCCCTGGCCGGCCGCTTCATGCAGCCTATCAAACACGTGCTTCAGTGGCGCACTCTCGAGCCGTCGAGACGGAGTGCGGCAGCCGTGAGCGCTCGATGAGCTCACTACCCCTCCTCTAGTTCACGGCCACTCAAGCCAGGAACTACGACCACTACGACGTCGTGAGGGAGGTTATTTTTTGCTTGTTTTTATAATTCTAATGTGCCTATATCTTTTAAAATAAAGCAAAATTTGAGAAAAGAAAAGTTCAGTGCGCTCAGGATCGGTGTAAAATTAAAACCAGTGAAAAAGTTGTTGCAGGGCCCCTTTAACGACCGGGGTCCGACTCATCTCCACCGAGCCCCGCGGCTGCTCGAAGCCCCTCGCGCGTAAAGGCGAAAGACTACTCCCCGTTCATGCTCTACCGCGAGCAGACTTGTACGTAGTTCAACTATACTCTACTCAAGTTACTGTAGTTTAACTAATTTTCTGAGCAGTTTAGTAACTTTCAATGACATTTTGACTTCGGTAATTAGTAGTTTACTTTAATTACTTTTTTGGGGTAACTTCTACTCAAGTTACAAGTTACTTTCGAATTTTAGTGGTTGTTTTGCCTATCAACAAACATTCCTGCACAAAGGAGATAAGATGTTGGAAGATCAGCTGATATTTGAAAAGAGGGGGAAGCATGTGGCGTAGAAAGATGGGGGGGGGGGGGGGGGGGGGGGGAGAGAGAGAAAATGGCATAAAGAATCCGAAACACAAGCCCCCCGCCACTGCAACAACACTACTGCGAGGCGCGGGGAGCGAACAGACACGACGCAAGAGAGGCCGAGTAACTGCGGGATTAGCGCCGAAGACTGGCGTTTCTCTGTGCCCCGAAGCTCAAGGAGACTTGTCCCGCCATTTGAAGAAAGGGCTGGTCCCCGCTTCTCCGCAACGTAGAAGCTCTCGCCCACTACCGGAGGTGCACACACTGCATCCTCACTCCAAGGAGGCAACAAAATGCAGCACCTGCTCTGAAACTCATCTGGTGCTCCTGTAGTTTGCGCTGTACTCGAAGAATCGTGTGCTAAAGGGTGACGCAAAGATTACCTTTTTTCGTTGCCTTTCCTGCCAAAACTCAGAATATGCAGATCTTCAAAGATTCAAAGATCGTTCGAGGAACACGTATTTATAAAAAAAAAAATTAGGAACAAGCAGTGTTGGGAAGTGCTCTATGTTACTTAAAGTACTACTGTTTAGAAAAAATGTACTTTACTTGAAGTAAATTTTCTAAATATGTACTTGTATTTTCCGAGGAAAGTAAAACTCCCGAATTAAATGTGCATTCCCAAAATTTGAAAAATAAAAATGACGGTATCGTCGTGGGAAAATGTGCTCTTTCGAGACGTCATCTGGTCATTTCTCTGAGTGAAGTAATGGCGGCTATAAGACCGATGGAAATAAGTGACTTATAAGTTGCTTGTGTCAAATAGCTCGTCAGCGAGAGTAAAACAATTACTCTGCGGCGACTTGACCTTACACAATGTTTGCTGCAATTTCCGTAAAAAAACTGATGCCCCTCCGATTACCGCTGCAGCAATGCATAACAGTTAAAAAAAAAAAAAAAAACACTGTATAGGGAATGAAAGGGCACCATGAAAGATTGTGTTAAAAGTGCTTGTACTTTACCTTGAAATATTTTGTATTTATATACGTTACTTCAAGTATATTGCACCCGGTGCACTTACTACTTTATTTGAAGTACGGTGCACCCCTAACTTGACGCCGCCACGAGGTGGTCCGGTTTCTTCACTTTTTGAGCTACTCCTGAACCGGTCGAACTAGTTGGTGAAGATTTGCGTCCCCGCTGAAGTGATCAATTTATCTTTGGGTAGCATGCAATAGATCGATATTTGCGAAACCGAGCGGCGGCGTTAAGTTCGAGGGGCACTACATAACCTCTCATTTACTTTGTACTTTACTTCAAGTACTTTTTTTACGCAACACTGTAAACCAGCAAACACTGTCTAAAAAAATTAATCAAGCTCAGACAGTGCTAAACCTCAAAGTAGAGATGACACATTCGCAGTAGATCATTTACCAAACAAACAAGAAAGTGCAAAACAATTAGGCACGCAGAAGCAGAACCAGCTATTAAAGCATTTCTGTGAAAAAAAAAAAAAAAAGCCGATTCATATTTGGCTAGCGCAATTTCGCTAACGTATCAAAACTTTTGAATTTTCGTTTTACCATAAAAAACATATAAAAGTAACTTCAAAATTAATTCGCTACTTTTTAACGGTAATTAATAATTGTCTCAATTACTTGCTATGTGAGTAATTTCTAGTCTACTCAAATTACTTTTGACGTCAATACTCAGTGACATAACTTAATTACTTTTTTCGAGTAACTTGTACATGTCTGCCCGCGAGCGTGCCCCCTCCCGCGGGTCTGCGAGAAAACGCCCAAAAATGCCGACACCAGCATAAGGAGTCAAAAAAAAAAAAAAAAACAATGCCGACGCAACTATAGAAAGATAGGCCTTTCTAAAACAAATCTTACTTATTACAAAAAAAAAAAAAAACTCCATCGTTACAACCCCTCCCCCCTTTTTTTTTTTTTTTTTTTTGGGGGGGGGGGGGGGGGGGGGGGGGCTACTCAAAAGTTGCAACGCGTTGATTGAACAAAAAAAAAAGTATTCCGATCACAGGAAGTACATGTTCTACGTACTTTTCAGTATTTCAACGTACCGCGGGTAAAGACGCATTCACACTGAGCAAAAAACGCGCGTTGTGGTCGACGTCGACGTCGTAAAAGACGAAGCAGTCACACAGGGTCACTCGACGGCGGTATCACTTAGGCGCCGCCGGTCAGTGTTTGCCCCCTTGCCTTGCCCCCTCTGCCCCGTAGCTCCCGCAAGCCAAAGCCTTTGAGCACGCTCGCGTCTTCTCACTCCCCCTGCGCCAAACTGACCGAACCGAAAAAAAACATCCTCAGCTTATGCCCTCCTCTGATTTGTCTCTGATGTGTTTCCTAACGGCGGCACATACTTCCCCATGCCCTCCTCTGATTCGTCAACCAAAAGCGACACCATGCTCGAAACCGAAACCGAAACTGCTTTGTCGCCAATGGATTTCGAGAATGCCATGGGCACAGTATGACATACTTGAATTTATGAAAGTAGCCTGCTGTTAAATTTTACGCCATGCCAGCTTTATTGACACAAGTTTATTTGCCGAAATCGGTGTCTCTGAATACGGGAAGCTTTCGCGTCACCACTACACTGTACCGCTGCAGGGAAAGAAAGTGAAAAGCATTGAAAAATTAAGAACAGCTGTGCTTATGTTGTCTTTCTCTCCCTCTCTCATCATCTAGTTGAACATCAACTCCACTGAAAACTCCTTGCTGAATAGACGCAAAATCGTTGCGCAAAATACACTGGATTCGCTGGATTCTTCCTTGCGGCCCTCACGATAGCACATTTCCTGGAACGGTTGGCAACGGCTTCATGCCAGAAGTCTAGCAAATTCCAAATCCAGAAGCACCTTCGCTTTTGCTGATATTGCTTTTCTTTTTGGTCGCGCAGTTCGTCGTCGGTCGGATTGAGATTTTTCGGTTTTTCGTACGTTACTAAAGCATCCTTGAAAGACAAAACAGAAAGAACATGAAGCATCGGAACTATCGAGGACTCTCGTTAAGAAAGGAGTCCCGATCGACTTCCTAGCAAGTGCTGTCTTTCTCTTCGTTGCCGTCCGTGGAGGCACGGCCAGCACGGCTCCAACCAGCGGCGTCGTGGATCATCGGCTACCCGTGGAACGATGCCAGTGTCGGTACATCGCTTTGCTTATGCCGTGAATCCCGCGTTTGGCAGCTGACCGCTTGGGCCGTGCGTGGGGGATTTACCACTTCTCACTAGCCTCAGTCATGACCGTCGAACACTCCTCCCTGGATAACCACTGCAAAAAGGTGAGTTAGGCTTAGAGCATTTTTCCAAAGGTCGTGCACTTATGGCCCGGAAGCTTATTTGGTGGTTTTGACGGCAGCACGTTACCGTGCTTTGTTGCCCTTCTAGATCGCGCATCGCAGCGTGGATGGGCACCTCAAGTGCCGTCGAGTCGGGAGTGTCGGCCGGCTCGATCAGTGTGAGGGCGAGGCGAATATCTCTTTTGAGGTCCGCGATAAGAATGTTCTGTTGATGTGCGATCTTGCCTTTACGAGGAAGTAAATCTTATACGTACACACACACGCATACACGAAAAAAAAAATAAAAGACAAATAACAATCGATTCCACGTGGTATACTAAAAACGTAAAACCGGTAGTGTGTGCAGAACCTCTAGTAGAGACTTGGCACAGTCGGAACGGCTCGGAGCCGTCGCTCCAAAATCGGCGCAGATCTCCGCAAAGGGCGTGCAGCAAATTACGCGTACCCCGTATACATGTGCGGGGCTTACTTAGAACGCACGCGTATTATAACGCAGTTGACTGTAATAGAGGTCTGACGAGACAAATTGCTGCGTCGCTCATATTTCCCAGCAACGCTAATCTTGCGCGTTTCCGTTTTTTTTTTTTTTTTATAATTAGAAAAAGAAAACCGTTCTGAGAGGGAAAAAAATGCTTTGTCAATCAAAATTCTAGTGCTTATATCTTCATTTCTGGACAGCGAGGCTGTACGGCCCCGACTGTCAATTATTCGGCGTGCGCAACCAAACAACAAGGAATAAGTGAGAAAAAAAAATAATAAACGGTATTTTCGCGTGTTTCAGCACCAGGTAGTAGTGGCCGAAACGGGACGGTATGCCGAAGGTGTGGCACGCCTCCTCTTTTGTAACAGGCACTTTGGCAGGTTGCCAGCTGAACACCTCTCCGGGCGTCTCGGGTGTCTCTCTCTATGCGTCACTCTCTTTTTGCCTCGTTACAACACTCTGTCCGCTTGGGAATCCTGACCTGACAGCTTGCTCCCAAAACCGTTTGCGGCCTGGCGTTTTCAGCTTGGCCCAAACTTGAGTAGGAAAACGGATGAATACTCCTACAGAGAGGAAATCTTGAATCACTATAGTCGCCTACAGGTTGAGAACAGCAGGGAAGAGCTTCAGTTGCTCCGCCTACAGTGTGAGCTTCCTGCCTCTGACAACAATTTGGTGTCTCGGGCACTTCGAGTGTGCGTGTGCAGCCGAAGCACAGTGGAAAGCTTGGAGCGCGTGCTAGAGTCCGGTCGTTCGAAAGGCATGCCCTGCCCTTCTCATCCTCTATAGACCAGTGTCTGATTGTTCCATGGGCGCCGCCATGAGAGAGCACGTTTTGTGAGACTCCATTCTTTTTAGAAACCTTTGCACATATCGTAGCGCAAGAAAGTCAGGAATACATAGTCATGAAGCTCCAAGAACAGCGCCGATGCCAAGAGTGCTGTAAACATCAAAAATCTTGTTTTACGCGCAGCCCCTTTTTACGAGAGCCTCGTTTGAGATTATTTTTTCACATTTTTATTATTGGGGGCAAGGATTTTTGAAATTGATCTATTTGCGACTCCAATTGACTATAGGTGGCTCCACTCGTTTTCCGAAATGGCGGTTATAGTGAGGGTTGGAGATGTATGCCTCTATGCCAGTTTCTGAGCCTGTTTGGCGTACTGGCTTCGCTGAGCGGCTCAAATTATTCCTGCGTATTCCAGAAAGCTTGGGTGTTATGAGTGTAGGTCAGCTCTTTATCCTGAAAAACAAAAAACAAAAAAAAAAAACAGTCTTTAGCATAATATACATTTTAATTCTGGAATGAAACCGAAAGTATCTTCAATTTCTGATATAATTTCTCGGTATAGGTGTTCATTTCGGATTCTTTCATAACTCAAGATGTGTCTCACAGCATAGATATTGAGCTAAAGAAATGGAAATTTTATTTATTCATAGAAATTTTATTTTGTGACATACATGTCCGATCCAGGCACTTAAAAATTCTTAGGCGAGTTCAATGTCTCTTTAAAGACAGAATCTTTTATACACCTGAGAGGTACATAGAATATTATATTTGTTGCAAAAATCAGTGCTGATATTTGTTTGTTCTTTTTTGCTGCCTTTTCTCCCTCAGACTATTGTCATGCGAAATAATGAACTGCAGGCCTTCGGGTTTTTTGGTATTTAGGTGATTAATTGCTTTATCATTATTTCCAGCACAAGAAATAAAAATTTTAATAATATCTCCACGGGTGAAGCATTAACAAAATGTTTACAAAATGTATAAATTAAGAAACACTGTTCTCACTACAAAAACCCGGAGGCGAAATCCGAGTCAGACAGCATATGTGTGTGTTTTTTTAAAGTAACAGTTGAGGCATAGGGCTTTAATTACATCCAATGTTTGAGTGCTTGTCTATCTTGATAACTGTCAGTGTCTTTTCATGCGCTAAGAAGAAAACAAAAGGGAACCTTTTGAAAGTACTAGTATGGTTAAATGTCATATTTTTGGGATTGTGGCATTTATCATGATCGTGCCACAATTTGTATTAATAATAATAATACAATTAAGATATTTTAATACATAGGTTTTTAAGCTTTAATATAATTTGTTGCTTATGATCTAATTTCAAATCTGCAAACAAGTATGGCAATCAAAAGTGTGCAAATTATCATTACTGATGTCAATTGTAGCATTTTTAATTAACGAGTTGTAAAATAAAAATAGTCTAAACTCATTGAAAACATTCTAGCTAATCTGAGAAATCCACGTAAAATTACAATGATTCTGCGTAAAGCATATGGTGCTAGGAAAGTTGCGATCTTTGAGAATAGATCAAACTTCAAAAGTCACTGCCAATCTTCCATACCAAACGCCCGAAATAAAAAATGAAACAAACCTAATTTTGTTCTAGTTTTTTTTTAATTTCCATTCTTCCCAGAACATTTAGTTTCATTTTTATGCGCTGTCGTTTTGCCTATTTCTGCCCTTCCAGTTCAAAGGAACGCCTACCCACTTGCAACGTCTGCTCACTGCAGCACGTTTGGTTAGCTTCGGAAACTGGTGAAACAGTAGTGAGTTTTAGTGCAAACACACAAGTACTGTGTGTTTGCATGTTCCACAGTGCACGTGTGCGGAGCCCAAAATTGTGGACTTAAATTGGAGCATGGTGACGACGCACATGTGCAGCGTGGAGCACCCAACGCAAATGCACAGCGCTTGCTTCTATACGCACTACTAAAACTCTCTAATGAGGTACAATTCCATACCGGCTGCAGCACTACATTGGGACAGTGAAGAGTGTTTGCATTTGGAAATGGCATTTTGCGAGCCATGATTGCGAGCAGTTTCGCCGTGCCCGCTGAGCAGGAGAATCGGGACCCTCACTAGAGCTCTTCCCATTTCCGCCGTGGGAGGGTGGGTAATGAGCTGGAGACGCGAATAGACCCCTTTCAAAAAGTCTTGCAACAGTGAAAAAAGCTAGGTCTTGCTGGGGACACAGGAGCGGACGCCATCTTGAAGGATGCTCCCAGTTTGTTTGCGTTGCCCCAGTGTAAGTTTTGTTGTATGGTAAGGAAATCTTGTGGGTGAAATACAAGTGCCATTTGTCTATCATGCATTGAGAATTTTTTTTTCTGCTTGTAGTAAGAAAGAGAGATTGAGTGGCACCATTAATTTGTTATAAGTGAGAGTGGAGTAGTTTCTTGAGCGCCCTTTATGTGTTTCGGTGATACGATTATAGCCCCCTTGTTGTGAAAGATAGGTGAGCGTTCGTGGTGCAACTCTTTGTATTGCTGTGGTGCAACTCTTTGTATTGCTGAACTGCTGGAAGAGGGCGATGGAAGTGCTTGATCAGTCGGCTCAGTGTTTTTGTGCTTCCTTGAGAGCTTGTGTGAGCTGTCTTGTACAGACATTGATTTAATTAATTTATTTAATTATGCGTACTGCAGCCCCGTTGGGTCTATTGCAGGGTAAGGACTATAAGGAAAAGTGTGAGTGTACATAGATTTAAAAAAAACACACAACATAAAACAACATAAAGATCAACATTAATCGCTGTCAATGGCTCACAGAAATTCATCAGGCGATAGCAAACAAGTATTTCAGGCAGTCTTGGGCAGTAACTAGTTACTAGTAACGCGTTACCGGTAACTAGTTACTTTTTTCGGTAACTTTTAACTGTAACGCGTTACTCTTTAATACTGGTAACTTGTAACTGTAACACTGTTACTTTTTTATTGGGTAACTGTAACTGTTTAGGCCGTTACAGTTACTTTTTACTATAAAATTAAAATTCCTGGCTGACAAAAAAAAAAAGAAATTGAACAAACAAAAAAAATTGCCTCGTTTTGCCCACGACGGACCATAGACGAGACGGACGAGCGAGCACGAAACCGGGAGATTAAGGAAGCGGCGCCTGCGGTGGTAGGGGAGGCAAACAATGTGTGTTTCACCGACTTTGGCTCAATCTTCTTCTGTGGGGACCGTCTGCGGGTGTCGGTGGTCATGCGACATGTCTCCGAGTATTCCGTCTGGGCTGTGTCTGCCCTTCCCCCTCTCCCTTCCTCTTTGTCAGATATGTCCGCGCTGTACGTCGCTTTTACACCCAGCCGGTCGCCGCTCCCTCTTCGCTATGAGTTTCCAAGGAAGCCGTCCCCATATTAGGCGGAAAGTCGGCGCTTGTTTAACTTATTCTTTCTCTTCGGAACCGCTCGAGTAAATTGCCTTTCCCGCTGACAGCCCCAAGAAATACTCCAATAGACGTTTTGTTGTGGATTCTCTGCAGTGCTCCAGCTGAAGCGATTACCCGGAAAACACGTGTTTTTAAGAGAGAGAAATTGCTGTTTTGAGGCGCGTGTGCGGACTGATCTTCCACAGTTGGCGTTTGAGACAGAGGCGCCGCGGTGGTCGTCGTACACACGTAGAGCACCAGAAGGCCTCACTTTGTCTCCTTTCCCCCTATATTCTTCCAAAGCTGTTTGACCTGCTATATTTAAGCCTGCTTTCGAGTATATC